AAAATACTTTCTGCTTTAATATCTTTATAACATGCTTTAACATCTCCTTTCCCAACAAAATCTGTCCCTTGACTTCATGTCTCTAGCTGCCCATCCCACTTTCTGACCTTTTCAAAGGAAAATTTAACAATCATCCAAAATCACTGTCCCTACCCCCAACCTCCTTTTACCTCCTCGTGCAACTCCAACTGGTCTAATTCCTCAGCATTCCACTGCAATCACTCGTGTCAAGGTCACCAACACCCTCTCTAAGCTAATTTTCTGTACTCAAATTACTCTAACAGAATTAATTATGCTGTTCTTTTGGAAACAGTCTGTCAAATTCATAGTGAATTCTTCGACAAAATTGGCCAGGGGAACCCCTTGAAGCCAAATCGTTTGTCCTTTTAGCTACTTTCCAAAAATCTCCGGTTCATTTTTAGTGTATTAGAGATCAAAAATGACACTGCTTCCAGACCTTATTTAATGACATGCAAGACAAATGTTATGCACGTTAACATTTTCCGTTTAATTGCAACCATACCCTTTTCTTCCTAATACGTTTTTTGAATTTATTTTCTTTACAACCTATCTACTTATAGTTTTAAAAGTCTTTATCAAACTGTTTCTTTTTTTTTTTTCTTTGCCGTCCTCATATGTCATTGTGATTTTAAGCACCTGCCTTTCTCTCCAATCTCACCTCACACCTCTTTCCTCTTGTGCATGCTGCTTCTGTCACTCTGGGCTTTCTTACTTCTTAACCAAGCTAACATTGTACCCTGCCTTGATCCTCTGCACTGGCAGTGAACTGGGTGGTGGGAGACCTGGACTCCAGCCCAATCCTCCCAATGTGTGTGATCTTGATCACAGCACTCAGCTGAGCGGTGCTTTAATTTTATTGTTTCAACAAAAATTTGCACTTTATCTTGAAGGTTTCTCTGGCTACAAAATTATCTTAAATCCTACCCTGATGTATTCTTGGGGAAAAAATCTTGACTTTTAAAGGCCTAAGGCAAAAGTCATTCTAACAATAAATTGATCAGTAAATTAGCAGGAACTGCTTTGTCAAGGACAGACAAGCAGCTTCAGAATAGAAGCAACAGTTAAGGATAAAGGCTTCAATGGTGCAAAACTTGAATCTCAAACACACGGTTTTCAGTTTGTACCTTCTCAGTTAACATATAAGCCAGTCCTGATATTCCTAACAGTCTAACCACAAACAAGGGGCGAGGCAACTGAGTTCTTCACTGGATTCCCACACGGTTTCTTGAAAATTCATTTTGCAGTAAGAAAACCATGATCTCATTTAAAAAGCAATTCAATGACATCATCTCACTAAAAACCCTCCCAATGGCTTTGCACTCAATTTACAGTAAAATAAAGTCCAATCTCCTTACGGCAGCCTCAGTGGTCAAGCATGATCTGGCTCTTCCTCCCTGTCCTCCAAGACCACTTCTGGTCACTAGTTCCTTTGCTCACTAAGCTGCAGCCACACTGAGCTCCTGTTTCGAAAACACACCAAACCTTAGTGTCTTTGCCCAGTCTGAAAAGCTCCACACCTGATTCCATGCCTGGCTCTTTCTTTATCATCCTTCAGGTTGCAGTTTAAATACCAGCTTTTCCTGTCTGGTTAGACCCTGCAATCACTATGGCAATACATTATTTCTCTCTTAGCATCTCTCACAACCTGTATTTTCATCTGTTTCTTTTCCATGCCCTGCACTGAGGTTTGAATTCTGTCTGATGTTTTACCTTGAACAAGTTATTTAGACTCTCTGAACATTATCGCAATGTTTATCTCACCCAGCTCTTTTGAGAATTAAACTAGAAGGTAAAAGTACCTAGAATAGAATTTGGCACATTATTTAGGACTGTTCATCAAATATGGAGGATAAATTCATCACTAAACTGTGACATGTTAAGAGTAGGAGTTCCCTAAAGTTTAGTGCTAACAGTTTATTAACAATCTAAGGGAAGAAGTACATAGTGAATAATTAGCATGTAGTAATGCTAACATTTTCTGTAGCGTGAAATGCCAGGTTGTTAGGAATAAACTGCTGGAAGACCTTTTAAGGGTGAATAAGCAGAAAAATGCAAATAAATTACAATGTGGGCGAATTAGTAGAATGAGAAAAAACTAAACCAGTAAATTTTTAAACTTATGCCCTACCTCTCCCAGAGCTCCTTTACTGTCAACCCCACCCATACCTGCAACCCACTACTCCCCATCCAGATTCTAATAGGGTCTAGCATGCATTGGTCCTATGCCAACACCCTATGGCGTTTGATAATTTCCCCAGCCTCTATCTCAGAACACATATCTGAACAGTTATACGGAACTAAACTATGTGCTAGAAATTATCAAAGAACTATGGAAAATGGCCCAGAAATTACTGGCAACCTTTTCCTGAAGACTAGCACAATGTGGCTGGGCGCGGTGGCTCACAGCTGTAATCGCAGCACTTTGGGAGGCTAAGGCAGCTGGATCACTTGAGCCCAGGAGTTTGAGACCGGCCTTGGCAACATGGTGAAACTCTGTCTCTACCAAAACAAACAAACAAACAAACAAACAAAAAAACTCCCACGATTAGCTGAGTGCAGTGGCGCACGCCTGTGAAGCCAGCTAGTCAAGAGGCTGAGGTGGGAAGATCCCTTCAGCCCAGGAGGCGGAGGCTGCAGTGAGCTGCGATAATGCCACTGCATTCCAGCCTGGGCAACAGAGCCAGACTATGTCTCAAAAAAAAAAAAAAGAATCGCACAATACCAAACACAAAAATGAACAATACTAAGTAGTTAAATCATATAAAGCAAGGTATGGGAAGTCTCTTAAGGGTAGGTTATGATCCAAAATATTCGTTTTCTGTGGTTTGGCCTCTAGATCGGCCATCAAAAGCTTCTGCATAACATCATTAACAATATAACAAAAACTAGTGACTCTGTGTTAAGGGAAGCCTACTGAGTGCAACATCCAAACACATCTCCCTTCCAGCACAGCAGACCCGAGGCTGCCCTGATTTTCCTCCCTTACCTGCTGGGCTATGAGATCAGGTGTTCCTCCCATTCCAAGTCTTTGGTGATAATACCTGTATTTGCTACAGCTGTCATAACGAAGTATCACAGACTGTGTGCCCTAAACAGAAATCTATGTTCTCACATTTCTGGACTCTAGAAGACGGAAATAAAAAAAAAAAAAAGTTTTAAATTATAAATTAGCAGGGCATGGTGGCATGCACCTGTGGTTCCAGCTACTCAGGAGGCTGAGGCAGAAAGATCGATTAAATCTGGGTGGTCGAGGCAGCATGAGCCGGGATTACGCCACTGCATTCCAGCTTGGGAGACAGAGCAAAACCCTGATAAAAAAAAAAAAAAAGAAGAAGAAGAAGAAAAAGAATTGAGTTCAAATTGAGGTGTCGGCAGGGTTGGTTTCTTCCTAGGTCTCTCTCCTTCGCTTGCAATGACCACCTACTCTCTGCATGTTCACGTCATTTTCCCTCGATGCCTCTCTGTATCCAAATTTCTTTTAAAGATGGCAAGTCATGTTGGGTAAGGGCTTACTCTGATGACCTTGTTTAATTTAATTATTTCTTTAAGGACCCTTTATCCAAATACATTCTGAAGTCCCGGAGTTCAGTACTTTCACCTAAGAATTTTGGAGGCACGGAATACAGCTTGCAGCATCCTCCAAAATCAGACTGCAGCTTTACAGGAGCATTTGCTGAACGCTCTCTAAGCCAGGAATTTGTGCTGCCTCGACCACCCAGATTTAATCAATCTTTCTGCCTCAGCCTCCTGAGTAGCTGGGACCACAGGTGCATGCCACCATACCTTGCTAATTTATAATTTTATTTATTTTTTGTAGAGATAGGGTCTCCCTACGTTGTCTAGGCTGTTCTCCAGCTCCCAGGCTCAAGTGATTCTCCGGCGTCAGCCTCCCAAAGTGCTGGCATGACAGGCATGAGCCACCGCACCCGGCCTTGTGCTCAATTCTTTCAATGTTGATCTCATTTAAACCTTCCAACAATCTGTGAGGTTGGTATTATTATCATTTCAAATGCTGAGAAGACAGTCTCACGGCGGTATGACTTCTAAAGTCACGCAACTCATGATAGGATCTACAGATGGTCCTGTTTGGCCGCAAAACTCATGCAAGGATTCTGTGTGGCCTCCCAGGATCTGTGACATCGGATGCCTCCCAGCCACTGGGTTGCTTTGTCCTGGGCAGCCGTTCCCTTCCTTGCTTGCTCCCAGTTCTTGGTCTGTGTTTGATGCTCTTGCCACTCCCTGCTACTTCTGATCTGGGTCACTCTAGAAAGTAGGGTTTAAAATGTCCTCTTCTTGTCACCCTTGCTCCACTAACCAACTTAAAACCTCGGCAAACATATAATTTTACAAACTTTGCATACAAAAAATTCAAATATTTGGCCACATTTCAGGATAGTACCTGAATATGGACATGCCTAACCATCCCACTTCAAGAATTTTGGGAGGAACAGGGCTCTGGGTTCCTAGAGGAACAGTAAAATGTTGATACTAGAAAGAGTTAAGAGATGGAATAGGGGCTTCCTGACCTCCATCCTCAGCAGAAGAGAGGAGGAATGATAATTACTCCAGTTTGTACTACACAGGCACACTCCTAAAACACATACCTCACATGGAGACAATGACATTAAGGGAGACAGAACATGGATCTGTCCTGGATGGTAACTCTTAATCCTTACATTTATGAAAGTCTCCAGGTTATAAGTGTTTCTCTCCCCACCCAATCAGCAACATCATTTCTTTATTATTATAATTTATTGCGTTGAGAAGACTTGAGATCTACTCTCTTAAATAATTGTAAGTGCATAATATCGTATTGTTGAGTATAGGCACAAGGATGTACAGCAGATCTCTAGAACTTATTCACCTAACACAACTGAAACTTTATACCTACTGAACCGCAGCCCACCCCCATCTCCTTCTCCCTCAGCCCCTGGCAACCACCAGACGGTCTGTTTCTTTTAGCTGACTATTTTAGATACCTCATACAAGTAGAATAATGCAGTATCTGTCCTTCTGTGACTCGCTTTTTCTCATTTAGCCCAATGTCTTCCAGGTTCATCCATGTTGTCACACGTGGTGGCATTCAACATCATTTCTGTAGCAATTTGATGACCAAATCATTGCTCTAAATAGCTAAGCAGCTCCACCCGACAGAAACAGATGGTGCAAAATCTAACTTATCTAATTGAAGGCTGGGTAAACATTTACTGAAAGTTTGTATTTAAATCATTAGCAATGTGTGGGTCTTTCAATCTATCGGTTCTGAAAAAGGAATAAAGACATCACCTCATAATGATGGCCTTGGAAAACTCACTGCCACTTTCATCTTGGCAAAGGGAAGGACAATTTCGGAATCACTGACTAGCACTAAGCAATGTAGATAAATACGGAAATCTGATCTCAGGGCTGGTCCCCTGATCTTAGTGTCCTCATTTCAAAGCTTACTCAATGGAATCCTATAATCCCTGTCTCAGATTAAAATAGAAGAGGCTCCCAGTGCCAGCAAGCTGTGCAGATCTGAGAGCAGGTTTAAGTTTACTTCTCCTGTTTAGATACAGTTGTATGGGTCCTTCCTTTTCTACACATGGCTACAACTCAACTCCAAGTTCCTATAGTCACTGAATCTTTTCAGCTCCCACCCCCTTCCTTTCCAATTCCAGATGCCCTTCTTGAGGAAAGACCAGCAAGGCCATGACTGACTCCTTAGAACCATGTAAGTCTACAGTGGATCAACACCCTCAACAAAGATCTGCCTACTTTCCACATAATGGTTGTCTATGATCAAGGCGAATGGCAACTAGAGATTCATGTCCTGAAATACTCCCCTTATTAGTCAGAACCAAAATTTTAGACTTGGAAGTGCCTCAATGATTATTTTGTCCAATGTAACAGTCAGCTTTCTTATACATGTGTGGATGTATTTATTTATTGGTAGTATGCAAAAAGTCCCACATGATTCCACTCATAGGAGCGACCTGGAACAGTCGGACTCATGGAGACTGAAAGTAGAATGGTGGCTGCCATGGTATATGTATATTTTCACATGTATATTGGTTATTTCACCATTTAAAAAATATATACAATCAAGTAGAAACAATTTTTATAGAGTATTTTTTAATGTCCTTAGATCAGTTTCTTATTATCCGGTATACTCAGAATTATCATAGAGGACAATGTTGAGAGTTCTTTATTTTTCATGATCAAACGTTAGCTATTTGATTTATTAAGCAGAAAAACTAATGCGTCTTTTCTGCATCTCCAAGGAAACAAGCAACGTTCTAAAACCATCTCGCAGGGTTAGGAGCTATATGTTGAGTACTATACGACCAGAGTACACGCACACGTAACACATTTAAAAATTAAACCAATTATTTCTAGGTTCATAAAACTATTTGACACTTATGAGTACTTTACAACTCTCCAGAGAAAGACTACGTAAGGATGTAATTCCAACCTTTGTATTTATGAGTTCATTGGAATAAAATTTCCAGTAGCACACCTGAAGAGATGAATTCAAAGATTTAAACCAACACTAGCACCAGCAGTAACTGCTGCACGATAGCACTAGGTCACAATATCCATTAAAACATTCAAGAGTATCCAGCTATTCACTAGCTCACTCTTCAGTATCGGGTCATCGAGAAGCACCATTTTCTTCTGTAACTTCACTGTCATACATTCATAAAGTAAACATACACAATTTTTCTTTGATCCCAGCTGGAATTATAAAATGCCTTTCCCTTCTTATTTGCAGCAAATCATACTCTCGCCCAACACTGCCTTCACCTACAGCATGAGCCCAATCTCTCTGACAGCAATTGCTGAAACAGTATGTATATTCAGTCACAGCCAAAATAAATTTGACATTGTCATTATCTGGCTACCCACAGTTGAAAGATTTCCAAGACTACTGCTTAAAGACACAACATATTGTAATAGTGTAATGTTATACAAGTACCACCTGCTTACATACGAGATGTATTCATTAACGTAAGTGAGAAGCTCTAAAAAAATTATGCAAGGAATTGAAGAATCCAGTCATCAATATTTGGAATGAGTCTCTTCCTCTGCTCAATGTGTAAGCAGCATCTCAGGTTTCCCGCCTGTATCTCTCCCCTAATTTTACGTATGGATTTATGCTTTCTCTCACTAAAATCACTTCACTTACTCTGGGTCTTTGCGCAAAACAAAAACCTTGCTCTTCATTTATAAACCATGTTCAGTCCCTGTGCTGTGGATCAGAATCTAGTTCATGATTAACACCATACATTCACAATGCATTCACGATGCATTCACGTCATATTTCCCCCTCCTCCTCACCCGCTCCTGTTTACCAGTTTGCATACCATTTCCACTTGCTAATATGTTCTTTCAAGATTAAATTTCCATCTGTCATTTATGTGCTCTGGATTCTCTGGCTACTCAAAAACTGTTGTTGAATTCCTGCCTATGTACAGTAAGCCACAGGCTCTCGAGTTTTCTGCCCTGGGCATGCCTGACGACCAGCAGTCTCATAAGGAACACACTACCCAGTAATGAAGGCCACCATATGGGCAACACGGGATTCTTCACAATCCCCTGCCCATCAGCTTTTCTGCTGAACCACGAAATGGTAAGATGGTAAAAACAAAAACACAAAAAATCAAAACAAACCAAAAACCTGCTGCAGTGACATTGATACATCTCATGGATACCTCTAGAGACCTTCAAATTTGGACATGTTTACAAGGGCATATATAGGTTTCTCTGGAATGACACTTCCATCAAAAATCACCTGCTCCAGAAAAACAGTATGGTGTCCTCAAAAAATTAAACACAGAATTACCATATGACTGACCAATTCCACTCTTAGGTATCTACCAAAAGAATTTAAAGCAGGGACTCCAACAGGTATTTCTATACATTGTTCATAGCAGCATTATTCACAATAGCCAAAAAGGTAGACACAACTCAAACCACCATTAATGGATAAACAATATCTGATATACACATACCATGAAATATTATTCAGCCTTTGAAAAAATGAAATTCTCACATATGCTACTCTGAAGATATTATATAAGTGAAATAAACTAGACTCAAAAGGATAAATATTGTATGATTCCACTCGTAGGAGCGACCTGGAACAGTCGGACTCACGGAGGCAGAAAGTAGAATGGTGGCTGCCAGGGGTCGGGGAGGGCAGAATGAAGGTTAGTGTTAACTGGGAGAATGAGGGTTAGTGTTAACCGCACAGCAATGCAGTTTGGGAAGATGACAAAGTTGGAAAACGGACGGTAGTGATGATCGCACAGCATTTTGAATGTACTTAATGACACTAACCTGTATACTTAAAAATGGTTAAAATGGAAAATTTTTATGTTATCGATATTTTACCACAATAAAAAATAAAATAATCATCTGCTCTAGAGCTTATTCTCAAACCACAAATTAAGTTAAAAATCAACATTATCTAAAGTTTTCTCACCTCTGGTCATTTCCATGCTGAAAAGTTTTCATTGTTGTTTAATATCTCAAAAAAATAACCGAAGTGATAAGCAGAGAAAAACAAAGCTTTGTTGAGCTGTGTATGCCTAGCTAGGCATTTCTGCGTGCTAAGTGGCTCATTCATGAGTCTCCCCTGATTCTCAGTGCTTGAGATTTAGAAGAATGCCCAGCCAAAATTCCAGTCTTCCTTGACCTTTTCCAGTCAATAGGAAATAGATGAAAGAGAATGTAAAATCCTCAAACTCCAAGGGTCTTGGATAGTAGCTTGATACGTGTATCTATCTTGGATATATTGCCTTAAATCAGAGTTAAATTATATTCGGTATACTCTAAGAAAGCTGAGACAAGGAAAAAGAAAATTGAAACATATGTTAGAAAGTCTTTTTAAATCTAAAGAGGGTAACAATTTTAGCACATTAAGGGCGGGTGGGGGTTAATTATCTGAAAACTACTAAAATGGACTACAGTTATCTCCAGGAAATGCTGTTGGAGTGTTTCCTGCAAATGCATTTCACTGTTTTTGGTGATTATTTTATAAGTATACTGGGGCAAAAATTTTACATTCTAAATTGTTCTTATTTTTTTTTTACTATAGATATATGAGGATATTACTTATTCTATTATACTTATAAAGATAATTTATCTTTTAAATTTTCAAGTGAGTTCCACAATTAATTTCATCATCTAAATTCTCATTACAGATAACATTTTAATGTCCAGAAAGAAAAAAAGATTTTTTATTGTTATATGTGAAACCATAAAAATATTACCAGCTTGTTTATAAACATCTGGATGATCAAACAGTAAAAAGCCAAAATAGATAATCCTCTCATGTAGGATTCAACATTCTTTGTTGCTTGAGATGTCCACCCTGCTCAGCTCAAACTGAACAAGTTCAGCTGGCACTCATCCTTTGATTCATCCAAGAAACATACGTCCCAAATGTTACTACGTGTTAATATTTGTGTTAGGCACCAGGGCTATAAGGGTGCATAAACCAGACATGGTTACCGCTCATGAAATTTTCTGTAAATTATTTTCAGATAATAAGAAAAGTTAAGCTTGCCTAACAGAGTAAAGCCTTTTAAATTTGGATTGAATTATTTCAGATATCCCAGCAACTCGTTCACTGGTATACGAGATTCTTTTTGGTAACCTTGTAAGTTACACTGAAAGTCATCAGAGTCAGTAATAAGTTCAAAACAAGGGTTCAATGTGCACACTGTTAAATTCTCAGTCCTCCCCCACTTGATGGGCCCGTACATGTGGCAACGTTGATTCCTCTCTCCTCCTTGATACCCTTTCCTCCCCAGGCTTCAGGACACCACACTCTCTCAGTTTTCCTTTCCTTCACTGGGCGCTCCTTCTCAGTCTTCTTTGCTGATTCCTACTCATCTCCTGAACTCTCAGTGTTGGTCATCTTTGGTCCATTTCTCTGCTCATTTGCATTCTCACATGTGGTAGAACAAACGTACCCAGTGCCAAGTCTTTAAATCCACTTATATACCGAAGACTCCCGAATTTATTCCCGCATTCTATACCTCTCTCCCAAATGCCAACTTCATGTGTGCAACCGCTCACTCAGCATCTCTATTTCACGACAGCACATCCATTCCAGATCTAATGCAACCCTCCAGACCACCTAACTGATGCCTTCTGCATATCACCCTTTCGGTTTTTTGGGTCAAAAACAATGGAATCATTTTTTTGACTCCTTTCTTTCTTACACAACTCAAATCTGTCTGTAACTTCTGCTGTTGCTACTGTAAAAATACGTCCAGAATCTGATCACCTCTCACCATTTCCAATGCCCATGCCATGGTTTGACACGATCATCGCTCACCTGGATTGATGCAGTAGCCTAGGTCCACAGCGGCCAGAAAGATCTTTTCAAATCTCAGTCGCCGCACATCACCCCTGGACTCAACACCCTGCAGTGGATTCTCATGTCACTCCAAGTAAACCCAAAGTCCTCACAGTGGCCTCTGGCCTGAGGCCCTCCATGATCTCTGCTTTCTCCCCACATCTCTTACCTATCACCTACTTCCCTTTCCCTTGCTCACTACACTTCAGCCAAAATGACCTCCTTGCTCTTCCTCAAACATGCTGGGCTGACCCCTGCCTCTATGCTTGTAAATCAAAGTCCCTTGGCCTGAGATACATTTCTCTGCAATACCCGCATGGTTAAATCTTTCAGCTCCCTCAGTTCTCTGCTTAAATTTCATGAGTCCTTCTCCTTCTCTGGTCACCGTATTTAAAATCGAAATCTTCCTCTGCCATTCTCAGTCCTTCTTGCCCTACTTTTTGCTTTGTGTCATGCCACTGATGATCCTCTAACAAATTATCTAACGTACTTACGTTTTTTATTCGTTTTCTGTCCCCTAATAAGAAATGTAAGCTCCAACATCTGTCAATAGATATTTTTTGAACGAATAAATTAATAGGGTGTCCAATGAATTACGGACGGTTAAAATGCATTCAGTTCTTGGATTTGTTAAAGGGCAAGTTTATGGGAGGCTACGGTGAATCACTACCCTCCTCCCTCTTTGACTGGCATACAGTTCTTTGTTCTGCATATCTTAATTTTCAGTAGGTACCAGTTCTGGAATAAGTTGCATTTTATTAAAATATGCTATAATTAAGACCTTGATTAAGTCAAACTGGTCCCTGCCCTGTATCTTTTCCCATTTACTGACCTCTCTGGAGATGCCCTGGCTAATCACTAGTCATAGTTAAGTACATAAATCCCTGACTGCCTTTCTTCCTAAAACAGGTCACATGGAGTTGCCCATTTAGTAGTAACTTGATCACAAATTAGCCTCTGGAATTTGGAGCAAGTTTATGACTTTCAGTTTGAGGCTCATAATTGAAATCTTTTTCATGCTCTGCAATTGGCCTCAGGTGTCCCTCATCACAGCTCCAGTTCAGCTGTTCCAGACTGGACTGTCTTTCCCACTAAAATACTTCCAACATGCTATGTACATTACAAACACAATTCCAAATCACACCATTCCTCACACCCCTACAGATCTAGTGAAAAGCCATACTTCAATTCAGCTACTACCTCTTTGAGAGGACTCATGGGATCCAAAGGGATGAGGGTTACAGTTCAGTCTGAATTTTAAGTCACCCTACTCCATACACACCCTTCAAATATGATGAAAATCCATTCACATAATGCAATAAACACAGGGACAGAATTTAATGTTATCTGTACATAAGAAAATAGGTAATCATGACAAAGCCATTCTGGTTTCCCAAATTTCTCTGAATTATAATTACATAAAATTCTTGACACTATATGACCTTATTTTTATAAGCATTATATCTTTTATAACATGATCATGGAGATAGACAACTACCTTGAAACTATTTTATCATTTGAATGTTTGGTTTTAAAAGAATTAAAGTTTTTTTTATTATTGTTTGGTGTACATTTTGCTGATGAACTCCTCTGCACCATTCTGTTCCTCTGGGGTGGCAATGCTAGGGAATAAAAGGTCTAATTAATTTAAATATGGCAAGAATGCTTAATTGTACACTTCACATGAGGAGAAACTTCAGGATACCAGAAAGAAGTACTGGCAAAGAAATAAAACCCAGCCAACTATAAAAGCACTTATTCATTTGCATTTTTAAAATGTAATCCAATCAATAACATACCTCGAATGAACTACCATTAAGGATGCACTTTAGAGTCAAGTGCTAAGGTGACAAATGCAGCATATATTTTCACTTACGAGTATCTCTCAAACAAAAATGGATTTTATAACACTTCAGGCAACTAATATTTATAACTGAATTTAAAAGTCATAGCCAGACAAAACGTCAAATTAGGAAAAATGCCACATAAATGATATAAAGTGCGATATTATCATTTTGAAAGGAAAATTCTCAAGCAATCACGTCTGGTTTCTTTACAGCTATCCTATTCTTCTTAAGAAATCAGAGTATCTACCTCCTCCCTAGCACCCCTCCTCCTACCCCCTGCCTTGATAATTTCACTCTTTTCGCTTTTGGCATTTGATTGAAACAACAATCAAGACAATTATAATAAAATTCCCTTAAAGGAATTAGGAAAAAATTTTCAACAATTTTCTAATGGACTATTAAAAACCTCATTCAATTATTTTATGCTTTCATTATAAATTCTCTGTAGTATTTCTAAATGGCAATATGTAATAACAGAATTCCACATAATATTAAAACTGTCTTTCTAACGATCTTTGGAATATTGTTTTCCCAACAGACAGCATTAAGAATCTATGCCATATTCTAATCTGTCATTCTGCAAGTTAGACAAGACAGAATTTCTACACTCATCACGAACAGTGCTGGAGTCTCAGGGGGCCCATGAACCCATCGCTTCCTGGAGAAGAGAAGGCTGGGTGATGTGATACATCTGTCAAAACGCCGTGGTATAAATCAGCGGTATAAATTATGAAATGTAAGTATGCTTCTATTTTTCTGAGAAGGAAAATCACAAATTCTCCATCAAGATAAAAAATAAAAACAAATGAAACAAGAAAATCAATGAGGACCATCTCATGGAGAACCCCTCGCCCCCACATATACTCATCTCATGGAGAACCACTCGCCCCCATATATATTCATCTCATGGAGAACCCCTCGCCCCCATATATACTCATCTCATGGAGAACCCCTCCCCCCCATATATACTCATCTCATGGAGAACCATTCGCCCCCATATATATTCATCTCATGGAGAACCCCTCGCCCCCATATATACTCATCTCATGGAGAACCCCTCACCCCCATATATACTCATCTCATGGAGAACCATTCGCCCCCATATATATTCATCTCATGGAGAACCACTCGCCCCCATATATACTCATCTCATGGAGAACCC